AGCCAAAATACTCCTTGGAGGCCAGGATGGCCAAACTTCGTCTCTCATACTTTGGACACATTGTCAGGAGGGACCAGTCACTGGAGAGAGATATCATATTTGGTAAAGTGGAGGGTCAGAGAAAAAAAGGAAGATCCAGCAAGATGGATTGGCAAAAGGCAGCATCAATGGGCTCAAGCGTGGCAACAATTGTGAGGTTACCCTAGGACTGGGCAGTGTTTTGTTCTGTTGTGCACAGGGCCACTATGAGTTGATACTGACTCGATGTCACTTAACAACAACAATGGACTCCTGATGTGATGCTGTAGGATAAGCACTGGACTGCGAGCCACAAAGGCAGCAGTTTTAACCCATCAGCCACTCCTTGGAAACCCTATATAGGGTTACTATGAGTTGGAACCAATTTGACGGTACTTAACAACAATAACAAACAACAACAATAGCATCCCCAAAGGAACCTGGTGGTGCTATAAGATAAACATTGGACTGCTAACTCTAAGGTCAGTAGTTAAAACCTACCAGTTGTTCTACAGGAGAAAAAGATAAGGCTGTCTGCTGTCTCAGAAACCCTCTATGGGTTTGTGATGATTAGAATGGAATCAATGGCAGTGGGTTTGGCTTTTGGTAAGGCAGTACCATAACAGATTATTCTCATTTTCTAGTCCCATTGTTTTCTAAGGGAAACTGAGAACCAAATGCATTTAAATCAGCGTATTGCTTAAAATTTCCCTTTTTGTGACTGATTAATCAGTCACACACAAAAAAATGTGATTTTATTTTTCACAATTACAGAAATTTTACATCAGCAACACACAGAAAAATTTATTTTGATGTCATGGATGCTCCAAAGTATTAAATATATGTTTTTAAAGTAATGAATCTTATTAAGTTCTGCATTATTAAAATAGATTATTCAGAAGGAATGTGTCTTGAATTCATATTATAATTTTGTAGCATTGCTAGGAGACAGGATGAAAAAGTCATGCTTTAAAATAATCAATGCTAGCAATGTTTAAGGGGCTCTGGTAGCGTAGTGGTTATGAGTCGGGCTGCTAACCTCACGGTCAGCAGTTCGAAACTACCAGCTGTTCCGCAGGAGAAAGATGAGGTGTTCTGCTCCCGTAAAGATTTATAGCCTTAGAAACTCTATGTGGGGTCGCTATGAGTCGGAACTGACTCCTCGGCACATAACCACCACTAGCAACATTTACTTTGAAGAAAAATAAAAAGTCATAAAAGTATTATTTCTGTATGATATTAAATAATCCATTTAACAAACTCAAATCTAATTAAAATTTCTTGTAATAACTAATTTCATTTTCCTCCTAGTACAAATATACTTACACAATGAATTGAAGAGACTATGAACTTAATTACATAACAGGGCAACAAATAGGAACTGGAAAGGGAGATATGGCAGAGTAGTTACTAGCTTTGAAATCAGACTTTCTGGTTTCAAATTCCAGCTTGTTCCTATTGTGTGTTATTTAACTTCTTTACATCTCAGTTTCCTTGTCTGCAAAACAGGGATAATACTAGAAGGGTTTTAATGAGCCTTGGTGTGGTGCTGTAGGATAAGCACTGGACTGGTAACCACAAGGCTGACAGTTCAAACCCAACTGTTACTCTACTCTACTGCACAAAACAACAATGGTGATAATCAAATGACATAAGATACCAAGACATTTGCATAGCACCTGGAATTAAGCAAGCCCTCAACAGGAGCTAGCTACCCCTCTTATCAGAAACAAGAATGCTTAAGGTCAGCATAATATATCTTGGGAAATCATTTGTATAGTTCTATAAATGTATGATGACATGCAGTTGAAATGACAAATTTAAGTATTATAAAATTAATTGTTAATGTTTAAGATTTTTCTATTTTATTCTTTAATTTTACTGGAAATAAAAACAAACTGCTCTGCAGACCATCAAATTTGACATGTAACATTTAATTATGATATTGTAAGAAATTTGAAATACCTTTCTCGTAATTTTTTAAGCTCCACATCTCTTTCACCAATCAGTTCTGAGATACTAACGAAGTAATTATGTTCCAAATTTAGGAGCGTTTCCGAGGCAGGAGAATGGATTAGGTCATGGTACACATCTGCAAAGTCTTCATCCCAGCTGGGCTCTTCCGGCCTTGCGTGCTCTAATGTGGTCTACAAGATACACAGGCATTTTTATACCATAATATAGTTATTTTTATTTGACACACTACTAGAAAAGTATGCATACTATAGTCAGGCATGGACAGAAAGATCATATATACCAAGGGGCTTCAAACATTCCATTATGTATTCATTCCATGTTCTACGAACTTTTTGAAGCCCCCTTGTAGGTATGTACTTTTATATATGCCATTTAGAATTATATAAGAGCACAGAAAAAATACGGAAAGATATAAGCAAAGTTGTTAATATGAGTTACCTCAGGGCAGAGATGAGGGTGAGTTGCTAAGTGAAGGAAAGAACAAGTGTCCTCAGTTAAAAAAAGAAAGCACGTTATGATCCCATTTCTGTAAAATAACATACATGCACACACACACACACACAGAAAGGAATGGTCAACTAACTGCTAATGGTTCCTATTTCAGGGCAGGGGGATTTCTAAAAACCTTGACTTTCTTTATATTTTACTGTGTAATACAAAAATTTACATGTGCTAACTAATCAGAAAAAATACTCATAAATCAAAATCTTGAATTTGGCTAATCAACAGGCGAATGTTTCCCCTTGTGTCCTTTCCTTTATTCCTCAATCAATTCCCAGATCATGAGGGAAGAGTTTATGACGACTAGCTGAATCTAGAACTTGGGTTTCATCTACTCTATGTCTCTGCACAGAGGAGCTCTGGTAGCGTAGTGGTTACGAATCGGGCTGTGAACCTTAAGGTCAGCGGTTCGAAACCACCAGCCGCTCCACGGGAGAAAGATGAGGCTTTCTATTCCCGTAAAGATTTACACCCTCGGAAACCCTGTACAGGGTCGCTATGGGTCAGAACTGATTCAACGGCACTTAACAACAACAACAACATGTCTCTGCACACCTGAAGTCTCATTCTGATAACTGTTCCACGTCTCTGGAATCTGGCACTGTTCTAGGATTGATGATCATGCTTCTTAACCTCTGTTCAAAATGAACTTCAGACTCCGGCTGAAACTTTGTAAGAAGGAGCCAGTGCAAGAGCAGAGAGGCCATACAAAACTGTAACGTTCTGTAACTCCACTAACCAGATCACAATAACTATAGCAATTTGTAGTACCAACTTTCAGTTCTGCCTACCGCAAGCCTAAAGAGAAGCTACCCACATGAGAAAGTAGGCTGTGTTTTCCTTGCCATTCTTGTTACTCCCCCAGGAGAGAGATGAGACTAAAAAGTGGACTGTGAGAGTACTGGGGTGCTAAGCAATGGACTGCAAAGAGAAGCCTGGTCCATAGCTGAGCTGTGATTGCTCCACCTCCACCTGCAGGCACAAAGTCCTGGGTTTTTTTTTAACCATTTGGTACCCCTTTATCTCTCATGTTATTGTTGTTAAGTGCCATCAAGTTGGTTCCAACTCATAGCTACCCTGTATAGGATATCCAAGGAGCAGCTGATGAGTTTGAACCACTGACCTTGTGGTCCAGTGCTTTATCCCACAGCGCCACACCAGGACTCTACAGCCATCTTAACTAAATAACCTGTCATCTCCCCTCAATCACTTAAAGCTTTGGTACTAAGTTCACAGTCTCAAATTCTGCTATTATCCTGGCTCACTTCAATGTCCACATAGACAACTCACCTAAGGCCTTGTCTTCTTAGTTCCCTGAACCCCTCATGTTTTTTTTTAAGTTTTTATTGTGAATTATGTGATAGTTTACATGGGAGAACACCAACTTTACATTTATCCTATCCTATATCATTTCATTGCAATGATTACAATCCCCTCCATGTATCATCAAGCAACCAAAGGGTGTACCCTGCAAGCCTGCCCCCTGGCCGTCAGCACACAGCCCCTCTCCCTCCATGAGTCCAGAGTCCTCAGTCTCTCCATCTCTCCACGTCATCATCTCTGCCTCCATCTCTGGCGTCACTGCTTCTCCGCTCTTCTCCCTTGACGGTCCTAGGGACCTTCACTCCTGGACTGCAAAATCAACCACTCCCCTCCTTTTGTTACAAAATGTCTACCTTTACAATTCTAACACTCACAGTCAGACCTGATAGCAATCATTCACTGTTGTACCACAAGAGTCTTATCCCCATCCCCTTTTATCAGCCCCTGTCCAAGCAGAGTGGAAACCATTTAGTGGAGATTCTACCTTCCCCCGCCTCCTCTGGAACTAGGCTCTCTCTTGAAAGCAAGCCAGTCACTTCTTGCCTTTGTAGCTCCCGCTTTTGGATAGCCAATGTCCAAGTTGCCCATCTCTGCCAACCCTATGGACTGAAGGGTGAACCCATCTTTAATAAATTCTCTATTCCACCTTAGTATCCAAAATATGACGGCTCAAATTCTAAAATTTAAACCTGAATTGAATTACTTACTGTATGTGGGTGTTACACTGGGTACATATTTCCAATGCCCAGTGTATAACCCACATATAGTATTTGTCAAAAAAAATATAAGAATGAAAAGTAACCATTATCTTCTTATCTCCACTACCACTTTTTTTTTCTTTCTTTTTTTAAGAGTCCTGGTGCGGTGCTGCAGGTTAATGTACTAGACTGCAAGGTCGGTTTGAACTGTAAGGTTGGCAGTTCAAACTCACCAGCAGCTCCTCAGAAATCCCATACAGGGTTGCTATGAGTCAGAACCAACTCAAAGGTACTGAACAACAACAACCACTTTTTTAGTCTAAGCTTTATTTCTTCCCTCTAACTGTAATGATCTTCTAACTTTGTTCTCTTCCAAGCCATTCTTCACACTATCACACTGAATAACGCTGACCATACTGATCTTTCTGAAATGCAGATATGAGCATTTCATTCCCCTCTTAAAATCTCTTCAATAGCTGCTCATTGCCCTTAACATTAAGGCAAAATTCAACATGGCTTGTAAAACTTTTCTGTAGTCGTTCTGAACATTTTTAAGTTTCTCTAATGTGCCACGGGCTCACCACTTCCAGGCCTTTGTGCATGCTGCACCCTCTGCCCATTGTTGTTAAGTGCCACCTGAGTCGACTCCCACTCATAGTAACCCTGTATAAGGCTTCCGAGGAACAGCAGATGGTTCTGAACTGCAGACCTTATGGTTCCAAGCCCAATGCTGATTCTACAGTGCCACACCCTCTGCCTAGAGTATTCTTTCTCTACTTCCCCACCACACCATCACTTAGCTACTTCTGCTTTTCTTCATGTCTCCGTTGAGTTACCCTCTCCTTTGAGAAGCTTTCCTTGACTTCCCTAGACTATAGAATATGTGTACCTACTTTCTTCTGTAGAGTGGCTCTCATAATACTTATAACAGTCCACTGAATTTAAGTATCTACCTCCCTGCTAGATGTAAACTATGACAGCAACGATCACATCTATTTTGTTTTCTGCTATATCCCAAGTGACTAACACAGTATCTGATAGGCAATGGGTACTCAATCTGTGTTTGTTGAATAAATGAATGAATGAATGAATACAAGAGATCAGCGAATACTGAAAAAGCAGATGGGACACCACCAAAAATAAATAGCCCATTTCACAATCTGACCAAGTGGGCCCTGTTTGGCTTTCCTTCTCCATCCAAACTTATCTTGCATTATTTTAAAGAAAGAAATAGAATCCAATAGCAAAAGATACAATAGTGATTAAAACCAATAGACTCTCTGACAGGAAACAAGAAAAGGAAATGTACAACAAAGTAGACAGTAGGTACATGACATGCGCATTTCAACAAACCATCATAAGCTCCTTGTACTATAGGGGTTCATCAATCAAAGTAGAGCTCTGTGGCTCAAGGCCAGCAGTCCTCTTCAACTTCGATACTTCGTATCAAAGTAGCACATTCAGTACACCTCTGCAGTAATGGGACACACAGCCCACCCTTTCCTGCCCTTCCTTACTGCATATAATGTACATTTATAATGATGAGCCGGGCCCTTCAGGCTGCTAGAACTCAATTGTTTATACTATGTTTAAGAAACCAGGAAATGCATATTATGTTTTTAAACCGTCTTCATCAAAAGGCAGTGAGGGTAAATGTTTCCTGTTTTAAATGTTAACATCTGAAATATCTAATAAAGCCATTTACAGGAAACTAAGTTCATTCCTGCATAGTCCTAGGTAATTGGTATTATCCTAAACATAATGCAATTTCACCTCCTTATTGATGCTCCAAGGAGGTGGCATAGCGGATTAAGCATTAGGCTGCTAACTGCAAGGTTAGCATTGTGAACACACCAGCTGCTCCTAGGGGGAAAGATGAACTGTCTGCTCTGGTAAAAATTTACAGGCTCAGAAACCCTGCGGAGCAGTTCTACTGTGTCCTGTAGGGTTTCTATGACTTGGAATCAGCTTGATGGCAATGGGGTGATGATGAGAAGTTACTGAATACTGTTTACCCATTACAGAGATGCTGTAGTCCTTGCACTGAGACTGAATTGTGCCCCCAAAAAGCATGTGCTTACAATCCTATTTTGGAATGGGCTGTTTTTATCAGGTGAATGAGACAGAATTTGTATAGGGTAGATCTTGAATCAGTATCTTTTCAAATTCAAAGGAGATTAAACAAACAAGGGAGAGCAGCAGAGAGAGAGGAACAGAAGCCACAGGACGATGGCCTAGGAGCAGAAGTTCAAAGAGATAATAAGTTGAGAGAGAGAGAGACAGAGAGAGAGAGAGACAGAGAGAGAGAGAGACAGAGAGAGAGAGAGAGAGAGAGAAAAAGAGAGAGAGAGAAAGCTTCCCTAAGAGCTCACACCCTGAATTCAGACTTCGAAAAGCCACCCATGTATGGTATTTGTTACAGCAGCACTAGAGGCCTAAGTCAGGCCTTTTCTGGCTCACCTACAAACCCTATCAATCTGCTGCTGGTTCTACTTGGATTCTTTTTATCTTCACTGTGCTGTAGCTTCTAACCTCTGCTGGCTTTTGTCCAACTACAACATGCTTCCCCTCTGCATTCCTCTTTTTTTGTGGTCCCTGATTCCTAGATTTTTGAGCTCATACTGAGCTGTTTGGTTTGTATAAATTTCAGAGCCAGTGATAGCTGGATCCAATTTTGTGGATAGAGTAATTTTTGGATTTTCTTGATTATTTTCCTCTCAATATTTCCTTTTGCTCTGAGTAGATGCTTTGCTTTCTTTTTCCTTGCTTCTTTAAGTACCAACCAAGTACTATGGTTCTACAACCATATGGTCACTAGAAAGCTCCACTCTACATACCAAAAGATGTTATAAAAATTATTCTGTATCTATTGTGATTGCCTAGGGCAAGCATAGAGTACTTGCTGAACAGATACTTGTTGATTTTCACTATAAATCTATACTCCAATCAATACAAAGTTATTATTTTGTTATGCTATTGTAAATTAATATCATTAATCTAGAATAGCATCAAATATTATCTCTTTTTTTAGAGTAAGAAAAGCCATGTTGTTGTTAAGTGCCGTTGAATCGGTTCTGACTCACAGTGACCCTGTATAGGGTTTCCGAGGAGTAGTCTGTAGGTTTAAATTGCCAATCTTGTGGTTAGCAGTCCAGTGCTTATCATACAGTGTCACACTAGGACACAAAATACTGGCTGAATAATGAAGTACAAATATTCTTTTAATACATTTTACAGCTTGATTGCATTTAATCAGTAGAAAGATAAGGTTTATTTTAATTGTTATTATCATAGACATTTTAGTATAATAAAGGTTTTTAATATTTAACTTAATGTATGTAAATGCTGTCATTAAATTTTTAAAGCAATTTTATTGTGAAACAATTCACATATCATGTAATTCATCAATTTTCCTACACAATTGAATAAATACTGTCATATTTTAAATGAACTAGGAAACCTTGCTGGGTGTGGAGTAAATTGAAAATCAGAGCAAAGTGAAATGTTGAAAGACAGCTAGTTTCTTTCAAATTCTCACAGACAGAATTTGCTTAGAGTGGGATATAATTCACTCGTCGTGGTGGTGGTGTGCCATGGAGTTGGCTGTGACTCATAGTGACCCCGTATAGAGCTTCTGAGGTTATAAATCTTTATGGAAGCAGAAAGCCTCATCTTTCTCCTGCGGAATGGCTGGTGGTTTCAAACTGCTGACTTTGAGTCTAGCAGCCCTACTCATAACCACTACACTACCGGAACTCCTGATTTACTCATGGCGGTTTGAAATGATTCATTTATTTGTCTGTTTACATAATTCTGTACCTGGCTAAATGAAATATAAGTGCCATTATGTATCTGTATTGCTCATTATTTTACCAACACCTACTATAAACCTAGAAGGAGCTCTGGTAGCGTAGTGGTTACGAATCCGGCTGCAAACCGCAAGGTCAGCAGTTCGAAACTACCAGCTGTTCCGTGGGAGAAAGATGAGGCTTTCTGCTCCCGTAAAGATTTACAGCCTCGGAAACCCTGTACAGGGTCGCTATGAGTCGGAACCGACTCCACGGCACACAACAACAACAACTACTATAAACCTAACACAGAGTAGATGCTCAACATACTCGCATCAAGTCTAAGACACATCATTTTTTCACATTCCAAGTCTCAGAAATCACAATGCTTATACTTAAAGCTCCCCATCCAAATGAAGAAAGAGATGTTTGATCCTGTGAGTGGTATACAAGGCTGCACTTGGACGGCTTGCTCTGGGCTGGACTTGGCTCATGAGTGCAGATACCCAGAGTTCCCACAGGAACAGGAGATTCTTCACATCAAGGAGCATGCGTGTATCCTCAGAGTACTGGCTTGATAGGAAAGGGGAATTTAGGACCTGGATACCTAAAGTAGGGAGGAGTTAAAGGCATGAGGTGGCTGGCTTATAAGCTTTCATGGAGGTGTTCAGTTAAAATGATGGTTATGGGAAAAGTTTACCCATTATGTATGAAAAAGACAATGGTTAGAAGGGCCAGGGGTGGCCTGTGATGTAGTGAATTATTTAATATATCTCTTCTAGCCTTGTCTTTGTAACTCCCACCAAATGAGTCTTTCCCTGGTAAGTCTGGATAAGAAGCAGATGGGGTAAGACACTGATAGGAAGACATGATTCAGCTGTGATGTCTCCAAGAATTAACTGTGAAAACTTGAACTCTAATGTGGGTATAAAATGAGTGATCTCAGTGGGGGTTGAACACACTTTTGGTCACCAGGACGATGTGGGAACAAAGGAGGAGCCCGTGTTTCTTGTTGCTGGTCACCAGTGTGCGTTTGTATTATCAGGTCATTGTCTCCATAGAATGCTGCTTATAAAAGTTCAACATGAACACTTGATGGCAGGCCAGCCAACAATTAACAGGTCTGGCTCGTCTCTCACCACTATTGTTCAGCTTCTTCTCCTCTGAAACGGAGGGTTCCAGGAGTATCATCCTGATCTTTCTCATTTGGTCTCCCAGGTTGTAGAGGATCTGTGTAGTGTGTCTGCTTCTCTGCTGCCATCTTGAAATGATCTTTAAAAAAGCAGTGCATCGTAACATGATTGCAAGTATGAATGCATATATGCATCATCTATGCATATGTGTATGTGTGCATACTTGGAAGTGAATAATCAAAATAAACTAGTTGTACGTGGTGAAAAAATCCCCCCAAAACACAAAAACAAGTCATCTCAAAAGAAGGAGCTGGGATCTCACTACCGTTAAAGAAGAGCCAGGGGTGGAGCGTGTCCTCTGCACCCTGAGAGCCCTGGCACTGAACCTCTGTGACTCAGGGACACAAAGCTGTGACACCAGAGGGGTGGCAGAGGAGCAGCAGCAGCAGAACCAACAATGAGAGAGAGCATGCGACAGAGCAGTGGGCTCCCCAGCCCCTGCAGCATGTAAAGCTGAGTGACTCTGGGCAGGAAGCTTATTTGTAGAATGGGGAGCCTCCAGGCACTTCTGTAGGGGTGCTAGGTTTGCTGACTCACAGAGTTAGAGCCGGGTGCCTTCAGGCTGAGGCTTAGGGTGGAGTGGTGTGTCCTGTGGGCATTTATCAGAAGTTGACTGGGACCACTAGGCCCTGAGCATTTTCTGATCCTGCACTATAACCTGTTAACCTCCCTAACAAACCTCATAACTGTGAGTATGGTATCTGAGCTCTGTGTGGCCATGGCAACACACTGTTGAACCCAGATGAGAAGCAGAGAGTGTGGTGGAAGTGATGGCTGTGCCAATTTTATTTTCAAGTTGGGAATTACAAAAAGCAATATAAGTTTAGGATACCCAGTTAAATTAGAATGCCAGATAAACAACAAATAATGTTTTATTATAATTACTTTTTTCCTTATATTAAAAAATCTGTTTAACTGACATTCTAATTTAACTGGGTAGACTGCATTTATATTTTTATGTTATAAATATAAAAACAGCCTCTCATTTTACAAAAGGATTTTGTCTTATCTACTGTTCTTGCTAGAAAGAAAGTGGAGCAGCAGCAACATGTACTTAGTATACATGATGGAATACATTTTGATATATCGAGGGAAAAGAATTCTACAATTGTTATGGTATTCTTTCAGAGATTTAAAAAACCTCAAAGTTCAGAATGTACTTGAAATTGGCAATTGGACCTATTTTCTTACCTCAGCATAAGCTTTGGCCCATGTACTTGCCAGCTGATGTAAATCTACTTCTCCTGATTTCACAGCATCTAGGGACGCTTCAGCATCTCTATCATAATCTCTAAGGGATTCTTCTTCTATAAACTGGCTCAGGGCTTCTTTTAAATCTGCAGCAGGGACAAGAGATGCCAGCATTAATAAATGTCAGACACACATAAAGAATATT